TCTCAGTGCTTAACTAATAAATAATCATGCCTATCATGTTCTCTATAATTTTATTTTTCTAACAGCTAGACATTATATAATTAATAAAGCAGCTATGGATAGGGTTAACTGAACTATCCATATACAACTTTTTAAAGCATGATTTAGTCTTTTTTAATAGTAATATTATTAGATATAAAAAATTATTCTAAAAATTTTATAATAAAATATTAAATAGACCTAGAGATACAAAAGAACTTTGCTTGACGTTAAATATATTTAAACAATTATTAATGTTAGTAATGAGTACCCAATAGAGATATAATAATACATATTCTAGTTTACCTTTTCAAATTTAATATAACTTTAAATATAACCTTACTATCCTAAAAGCACTTAACCATCTACTATTTTGCTGAAAGGAGATTTCTCTTTTGAAAATTTTTACTCTATCTACTTTACTAATGTTATTCTTATGTACAATGTTACTGAAGATGCTAATTGCTCTTTAACATTTTATTCTGTGTATCAATAAGTTGTGTTAAATAATATTAAAATTTAAAACACTAATTAAAATAGCGATACAGATTACTGTAATAAGATAAACTTAGTAAATTCTTATCTTCTGATCTAAAATATAACTTTAGATTCTAAACATTTTAAAAATTAAACTTATATAACATCGTCAGGAGCTTAATAAGTAATTTTATTTTTTTTATTTTCAAACGATTTAAGTTAAATAAATGTAATAGAATTTTCTTTTGAGAACTCGAAAATAAAATTAACTTTTATAAAAATGAATGAAATTCATAAAATTATAATTCTTTTTTTATTTTAAAAATTAATGATTATTTTGTAATGTGTGATTGATTTTTTATAATTTTAAAAAAAGGTGAAAATTGAAAATTTTAATTTGCTAAATTCTAAGCTCGGAGTGTTTAGCATATTTAATTAATTGTCTCATACTTTAATTGAAATAGAAAATTTAAATATTTAAGGAAACTAATGTGACGAATCTGTAAATTAAAATTATCAAAAAGCTGTTTCTTTGTTTAAAGCAGGCTAAATTTATATAAAAAATGTAAAAATCACTGGAAATAGTTTTTGCAATTTAAATTTTATCTCGATAGTAGCTTAAAATTAACTAACTAATCTTTAATTTAAATTATTAAATATCACAATATCAAATAATTAAATAAAATCCCTCTCATAGGGAGTATTGTTTACTTCTTTATTTTCTCTTCTTACTCAACCAGATCATATGATTATTGCTTAAGATATAATTAATTTTAATAATAACATAGTTCAAGAATAATAAATTATTAACAATTAATACTTTTTTACAAGCTTATTCGAAACTAGTAATATATATAATATTACTCTATCAAATATAAATTCAACTGATAATCACTATCTATCTTTTATTAGTAGCTAAAGGACATTAAATTTTTTTACAGATACCATTTATTTGCTCTTATTCTGATGATTA